TGTCGGTGAGCATAAATCTCTTTCCAGGAAAATTAATTCAACTACTTCCTTATGAAATCTAAAATACATGAAAACTATAATATTCTGTGCAAACGATCTTTCGATTACGTAATACAACGTACATGGAATTCACCACTTTATTCAATTCGTTCTCACTGCAGCTTATGCTCATATCCAATATCTGAAACCGACCAGCTCAGCCGTATGTCCTACGAAAACAGAGCCGCCTTTACGCCACTCAAGTACAATCACCTTGACTTAATTTTAATTTCTTCCTTTAACCTGCGCGATATTCTGCATTATTCCTCTAAGCATCATATTTCTCTTCGTAGCAGGGGTCTCGCCCGAAGCGGCTCTTGACTTATCGAGAAGCAGGGAGAGTGAAAACCAACACTTCTAGTTCCGGGGGTGGGCGCGGGGAAGGTCGGAGGGGGGCTCAGAGGCGGGGCAGATCAAGAGAGCTGAAGAGGCGCAAACCTTCACGGTAGAGCGGGTTAAGCCCGAAGCAGCTTTTCCCACGTTCCTTTACACCGCGCGCGGTGTGGGGGCGAGCAGAGGAAGGATTGCCAGGGGGGGGAGTGCAGAATGGAGGAGGGGGTCGGCAGACTTCGCGGAAGGGGCGGGGAGGGCCTTGCAAGAGGCGAAAGATGAGAGGCGAGACGGGGCATCGTCAGCGGGTGGGTTGGCGACGGGCAAGAAGAGCGGAGGCAGTAGGGTGTGTGCGTTTTTCCGATCTGCATGATAATTAGTGATTCCAGGAAAGTCAGGCTTCTTAGACTTCCATTAGTCTCGTTAGTCCAGTCGCAGTGTTTGTTTTTTTATCGCGGAGGACGGCAAAATACGGCGTGATTTTACCACATTTGCTTGCGTTGGGTTTCACTAAACAATACTTCCTACTACTCGAACTGTAGAAGTTCTTAGCGTCCCCGGACATTGGTGTATATATTGCCATGTAAGTGAATGTTTTATGTGAAGCGGTGAGGTTGGACTAGAAGAGAAAGGGAAAGCGATCCTGTGCGCCCGTTTTTAGGGTACTGCTTCGGCATTGTCTGATATTTATGGAAAGACAGTCGCAAAAACCTACCGATCACGAGGGCAGCCGGACCGTAGAATCTCTACAGACAGCGCTGAATAATTCGACTTAGCAATCCTGCTTTTGTCGGAAAACCTGCCACCGGCAGAAAGCTTGAGACCTAAATTCACAGGTTGCCACTGCATATCAGTTTCGCCCTTGACTTTCGGCATCATACCAGGCAAATGCCCCAAAACCAGTGCCATAACCAATAAGCGGATCGTGCCCTTGGTGGATTCGCCTTTTCCTATGTTTATCTCTTCTTTACACGCACTTACACTTACATGCACTACACTACGCTCCACATTTTGGGAGACTATTCTGGTGATAAGAGATGGCCCCGGCTACTAGAAGACACCTGATGGGGGGAGAAACCGAACTGACGTCGTACGTCTGCGCCAGATCTCGCCATTCACAGGAAAGGGGTATTTTATTTCCCGCCGATAAAACATCCACTATGGGGCTAATAGTTTAAAGCTCTTGATGCGCCCCAAAAACACGGAAAGAATCCAAACAGGTTGCGGCCCGGCGAAAGCTAGAGGCCCGGCAACACGTATTTTGCGAGGGGGCGAAGCGAGCAGGGCAGCAGGTGCAACACCAGCCGTAGGGAGGGGACGGGTGGCTAGAGCACGGAACGATCGGCGCCTGTGCACGGAGACGAGGGCGGGAAGTTGACCGCAGGGCCCGCGTTGCGGCGCAGCACCAACGGGCTTGAGGTCACGGCGCCGGAGGCGCGGCGGAAGCGAAAGTTGAATGGCGGGCCGAACCGCAATGTACGGGGGCGGGGATGACTGCGGAGGGCGAGGGCGAGGCCCGCCGAAATGAAGACGTGCGATTATGCCGCGCGATTCCATTACCCAGGCGAGTGGGCGGGGAGGGGGGAAAGGGGCGGTGGGCGGCGGAGAGGGCGGGAGGGATGAAACGCCGTTTCATTGTGCGCGCCCGCGGTGGACGATAAGCGCCTGCGAGAGGGACTCGCCTAAGAGGGCTCATTCCCGGCGCCGAGGCTGGCGCGCTCGCCTTGACACATTGGCCACCCATCTCGGCGTGCTTTTAGAAGTCTCCAGATGACTGCGCGAATCAAATACAAAAACTGAGAATGCAAAAAAACTTTCAGTACTAAATAAAAAAATGTTTAACGGCAGAGATCGCCAACGCTCGTTATTGACCTGATCGACTGCCATGTAAGTGGACGATAAGCGCCTGCGAGAAGGACACGCGCGCTGCCCGTGGCGCTGTGTTAAGACGGCTCATTCGTGGTGCCGTGGCTGGCGACCTCGCCTTTAGATCTTGGCGACTTCACGGTGTGCTTGTAGAAGTCTCTAAATGAGTGCGTGAATTAAATATTTGCCCGTCATTAAGAGCACTAGGCACTCGTAACTGAGCCTTGTTCATTGTCAGATTTTTTATAGAACGAGTTTAATGAAAAGTACATACAACCATTGTGAAACGTTCCATAAAACAACTGTGTTGTATTCCCTCTGATGTTTCATAAAATTGTTTCGTTAACTACCTATGAAGAATTCTTGTTTCGTACTAACATTACTATCGTCTTCTTTCCGAATTATAATACAGAGGGTTAGTGATAATATACAAGTCAGGGTACTTCTGAGAATCATCTGCAAGCGCGCTTGCATCGACCATCATCAACAACCACTTTCGTCACATTGATACTCACTTAGTTTTTACTCTTCCACGAAACCGAACTTAACACTAGCTTACGTTCGTACACTGTCAGATTTTAATAAACAGTAAGTTGGCATTATTCAAGTGTTGATTCATGCCGTAGAATCATCGGCACTATAAAAACATAAATTATGTTTTTAATTAATTAATTAATTAATTAATTAATTTAATTAATTAATTAATTAATTTAAATTTAATTAATTAATTAATTAAATTTAAAAACACATTTGCAATCTCAAAATTTAAAATGGATTTATTGACAGTAATAGCAAAAATAAGAATGAAAATAAGACAACTGCAAAGAGAATCAAACCCATTCTTATTAGTTCTTTGAATATATCCACAATACAATTATCCCTCCAAATATAAAAATTCGCAAGACGTCAAAACATTGTCCACATTCTGAGACCTTCAAAATCTCTTCCACATCCTAATACAAGTATAGTTTGTCAATATTTTAAGACACTGACTTTTCTCCACATATTAACACGTATTCCATGTTTTAGTACATAAAACGTTTCGTTTATCTACTTACCTCTACCACTATAAACTTCCGTCAATTCAGTGAGACGTCTAGTTGTTGATTGTTGTACTTGTTGATTCTGTATATTGGTGTGTCTTGTCTGTCTCTATAGCGTCCGACCTTCACAACATGTTTTCCAGTCCAAGCAGGCCATCTACAAAAACGTCTTCTTGATGTTAAATATCCATGGCTACTTAAAATAGCTTTAGTATATTAAGGTCCACTCAACTACAATAAAAAATAAGAAAATAAATAAAAAATCAACCTCCTTTTAATTTGTTTAGATTGGTTTAAGTGTATTAACTTACGTTTATTTAGGGCTCTTCATGACCACAAGTCATGACTGTGTCCACCAAGCAGTCCCTCCTTATGTGTGTGCGCGCAGGAGCCACATCGCGACATCTGCTTCATCATCACAATTATCCAATCTTCAGGTCATTCAGGAACCTGGATGACTTTAGCTTTTGAATGAACACTAGAATATAATGAATTGAATTGAATTGAATTTGCCTTATTTTACGTGGCGAGACTCGGGCCATCAGGCCCGCTCTTCCGTCAAAGGCCCGCTCTTCCGTAATGAACACATAAGTACATAAATATTAAATAATTAAATTTCTCGAAAAGCACCTCAATAATTCGATCGGATTACGTGGATTATCGTACGTTTGTCTGATACATCTTGATCACAAGTCATTACTGATCCCATCTCACTCCTTGTGTGTGTGTGTGTGTGTGTGTGTGTGTGAGCGCATCAACTACATCTCGTCAACATCGTTGACCAATTGATATCCATTCTATTGATCACTCAGGAACCTCGATGACCCTAGCATTTGAAGAACCACTAAAATATAATAAGTAATAAAAATATAGAAATAAATAAGAAAATAAATCAATGAAAAATAAATTAATCAAAGAGCACATCCGTGTCATGTGTTTAGATTGGTTTAACTTCTTTTAGCATACGTTTGTCTGAAGCTGTCCACGACTACAAGTCGTTACTATGGCTCAGATATTTATGCATTGAACATGTAAAATATATATGCAATTATACGATTAAAAACATGTATATACGCATTGACAATGCAGAAAGTATGTACTATACAAAACCGCAGAAAATGATAAAATTATTATAAATCGTTATTTTACCCATTATATTTATCACTGAAGATCGAAGTAATATATTATTTTAATGCAAATGAAGACAAATCTCACCTGAATTATGGAATTGATCAGTTGCTGAGGGTCACTTAATGTTTTATATTAAAGTGTATTACATTGTATACAAATATTAAAATCAGTTTCTAATGAAAAGTAACTAATAATATTAACTTCTAATTTATTATTATTACTATTATTATTATTATTATTATTATTATTTATTAGTATTATTCGTATTATTATTAGGTATTGTTATTACTAGTAAAAAGTAGTAACTAAATAAATGAAGTAATTTATAAATGCTATTTTCTACATTTTCCTGTGAAAAGAGCAAAACATGGTATCGTTCTAACGGTAGGTTGTGAGTATTTTGCAATGATAAACACTCCCAAAGTTTGTAAAAACATGCACTGTAAAATTTGCATTTCTAACGGAATAAACATTGTTTGATGGGCTTATTACAGTAAGTATATCTTCAAACGTAATAAAGAAAACATAAGGGTCGTAGCGCTGGTCGGTGCTGCGCCCGCCAAGACGTGTGTCGTGTCGTGTCGTGCGCAGCAACCACATCGCGTCGCTGGGGCGCGGGGGCGAGGGCGCGGCGGAGGCGGACTGGGGCCACCTGCGCGAGTCGCTGTCCAACCTCTTCCTGGGCGAGAACGACCTGACGGAGCTGCCGACGTCGCTGGGCGACTCGCCGACGGTCAACGGCCACCTGCACGGCCACGGCGGCGGGGGCGGCGGCGCCAACGGCCACGCCTTCAACGGCCACGGCGGCCACTTCGGCGGCAACGGCGGCGGCGGCGGCGGCCGGAACGGGGTGAGTGCTCCCTCCAGCGACGACGCACTCACGTCGTAATTAAAATATTTACTTAAATAATTATTTAAACAATCATAATTGTTATTTAAATAATTGTATAAATTATTATTTAAATAATTATAAAGACAATTAAAGTGAACATTTAAAGTTGATTTCGTAGACTGCCTATTTGGAGTTTAACATAGGAGAATGATCCATGTATACTATATTCTACTTAATTTCCTTTTCAGATATACTCGTATTAATGTGAATCTGTTACAGACAACGTTTCGAGAATTGAAAATGTATCGACGAGACTGGAAAAGGTCTGGTCGCGTTAGCTGATACGTAATATTAAATGTTAAAATAAAAAGAAAATGTCTGTCGATAATAATTCTTGGAGTAACGCAGTAGTCGTATGTTTTGCTTAGTAACAGAAGCTGTTGGAGAACAAGAAACAAATAGAATACTTAGAGAGGCCGAAGCAAGTAGACCTGCTTTTCAGACCCACGATAGCCGTGATAGACTTGATAGACTAGCTGTAGATAGACTCGATGTATTAGAACTTTAGAAAATTCAGAAGTAATAAATCTATGTTGTTGTTGTTATTGTTGAGAAAGAAAATTTCTAAAGAATAGTTGGCGGGTGATCAGCTAGCCCATGGTTGGCATTACTGACGATTACGACGCTACAGTCATACGGTAAACTTGGAGGCACCGACGAGATGTGCTTAACATAACGGCATGTGTATTAGCAGTTTCATATCTAGTTTACAACCGGTGCGGTTAAACGTGACAACGCTGCGACTACACATATCCGTGCGCTACCCGTAAAATAAGCGTACGGTTTCCACCATTTAACGTAACAACTGATGATACATGCAGAATTAAAGAAAAAATACTAGAAAACGATATTACTTTTCACAAAATTACTTTTCTAAAATTTAAACTCTATTTTTATTTTCTGAGTGTCGTGCGAGCGCGTGAAGACGCGGTACTCACCTGGTACCACCTCTCACACGGCGCCACGCACGATGATGAGCCAACAGCGTGGACTTTACTGTTATCTATATCCCGGACAGCACACACACACACACGCACACACATATACATATTGGCCTCCGGTAGCTTGACGTTGTAGCCAGAGGGCTACTAAAATAAATGGCTGGAGGACCACCTCGTGTGAGGAAATCATAGGATCGGCCGAAGGATAAATGGAGAAGTGAAATTGGCTTAAATATTAATTTAATAAATTAATATAGAAAGCGAGTGATAAATGCCTCTTGGAAATAATGAAATAAAACTTACGGTCTAAGAAAGAAAAATAAAAACAAAACAATTATATAACTATTATACTGTATACAAAATGCATGCCCGACGGGAGACTTATTAATAAAGGAAAACTAATTCTGACTCTTAATTAGTAATTTACAAATAGCAGTCACTAAAATCGTTTGACAAAATCAAAATGACCAAATGTTCATTTCTAATGATGATCACAACAGTTCAATTGAATTAATGAGATTGCATTGCTTAGAATGAACTTGAACCTAGTTTCCAGTGCACTGGGATTTATCCACACAATCGAAATGTGTTTTCGGACTTAGACGTCACAGGGTCACTGATCTGCTCAATTCTGTGTTCTGTTCTCAGTTCAATGTTACGTAACCTTATCGAATACCCCCTTCCCTTATGTAACGCATCGTAACGCTGGCTCAAACCCCCTTCCCCCTCTTTAGCGTTACGTAATTTATGAACGACCCCTGACAGTTTCTTCAATATTGAATGTGGAAAGCAGATTCGAAACCACAAGGTGTGCTAACAGTCTTAATACATGTTGTTTTCAGAATCTTCCCTCATGATCAGAGCGCAGAAAGCCGTGAAAGAAGTTCGTTGGCCCAGTCGTCTTCAAAAGCTTAAGCTGTGTTTGGTGAGGTTGAGGTGTCGGTGTGTGTGTGTTGGCAGGGGCGGAACGGCATGTTGGTGTCGAAGGGCAACGGCAACGGCGGCGGCGCGGGCGGCGGCGCGGGCGCGGGCGTGGGCGGCGGCGGGGGCGGGGGGCGCGGGCGGCGGCGGGGCGCGGGGGGCCTGGAGGGCAACGGCGCGGGGCTGAGCGGCGGCGCGGGCGCCTCCCTGGCCGACTGCCGGCAGCTCACGTGGCTCAACGTGGACTCGAACAAGCTGTCGACGCTGGAGGCCGGCGCGCTGCCGCCCACGCTGCAGACGCTCAGCCTGTCGCACAACCAGCTGGCGCGCTTCCCGGCCGAGGCGCTGGACCCGCTGCGCCACCTCAGCTCGCTCGCCCTGCGCGGCAACTACCTCGAGGCGCTGCCCGACTACACCTTCCGCTACCGCAAGCACCTCGAGCGGCTCGACCTGGGCGAGAACGCGCTCCAGGTGAGGGCATACACACACACACACACACTCTCCCTCTCTCTCTCTTGCTCTCTCTTTCACTCACTCTCTGTCTCTCTCTCTCCATCTACATACGCATACGGTCATTCTTTCTCTTTTTCACTCACTTTCGGGTAACTTCTTTTCCTCTCTGACTTAGCCCTCCTCTACCTCTCTCTCCGTTCCCGTAAACTCTCCTGTCATATGAAGTCTCAATTTTTCTTCTCCATTCTCTCTCTTACTCTCTTACACACACACACACACACACACACACACTCGCACTCTCTTATTATTTTTTCTTTCACTATCTCTCTTACTCCCAGTATATCTTTTACTCTCATTATCACTCTTACTGTCATTATCTCCTGTACTGTTGCCATCTGTTGTACTGTCTGTCTCTTCCTTTTTCATCCTCCCCACTTTTTTCTTTCATTCCCCATCTCTCATTCTTTCTTTTTCTGACTCTCATGATCGTATTACTCTCTCATTCTCTCCCTTCTTCCCTCTCTTTTCCTCTCTTGTGACTCTTTCTCTCGTTGTCTACCACTGTTTTTATATCCCTTTGTGTATTTCTCCTTCTCTTTTATTTAAAGAATAATGTTTAAATGTACTTTCTGAAAGAATGACTCATTCCAAGAATCGTTCGTGATATTTTAATTGATGTGTTCTTTTTTTTCGTGGGCTTAAATACCTCTTTCATTTCACACGTAAATATAGAAACATATATGCAAATTTATCGTTAACTATTTCAAATCCATAAAAGTTTACTGGTGTAATATAAAGTTTTTACAGTTTTAAGAATTAATTTTGAGTAATACTTCAATTATTATTGCGTAGAAAATGAAGATGTACCAGAAAATTGAACAGAATTTTTTTCTAAAAGCCATATATTCACATGGCGACCTTTTTTCTAATTTGTGAATTTGGTTTGTTTCAAGTTTTCAATGCATTTACTTGCAAAGAAATGTCTTGACTTAGGTCACAATAATAAACTTGTTTTAAAGCACCAATGTTTCGGTTTTATTCCATCTTCATTCGTGTATTTTACTCCGTATTTACATCTCTTGAAACTGTCCACATTTTTCCGACACTTTATTGACACACATCCCGTCCTGTACTTCATGGACTTCCTTCCCACAATGCTTTAACATTCCTCATACATGACACCGCCACCTGTCCCCTCCCAGCGGACAGCGCTGTAACATTGCCCTGCGTCTGCCTGGCCAGTCGCTGCCGCCCAGCATGTTCAACAACTCGATGACGGTGCGCGACCTGCTGCTGGAGTACAACTACCTGACGTTCCTGCCGGCGCAGGCGTTCCGCTGGCTGAACGCCGGCCGCATCTACCTGTCGATGAACCGCCTCAACGCCACGGACGACCGCGCCTTCGTGGGCCTCAGCCACACGCTCGAGTACCTCGACCTGGAGCACAACGAGCTGCGCGCCGTGCCACGCGCGCTGGCGCAGCTCAAGCGCCTCAAGTTCCTCTACATCCCGTCCAACCGCATCGCCGACGTGGCGGACGACGCCTTCGAGAGCTTCGCGCAGTCGCTGCGCGCGCTCTCGCTCTCGGGCAACCAGCTGTCGCGCATCCCGCGCGAGGCGCTGCGCGACTGCCGCCGCCTCTCGCACTTCAACGTGGGCTACAACCAGATCTACGAGGTGGAGGAGGAGGACTTCGCCCGCTGGGGCGGCGCGCTCGACACGCTGGTGCTGCGCAACAACCGCATCGCGCGCCTCGACGCGCACGTCTTCCGCCACACCGCGCGCCTGCGCGAGCTCAGCCTCAGCTTCAACAAGCTCAGCGAGGTGGACCCCGACGCGTTCGCCGACGTGGCCGCCACGCTGCAGTCGCTCGAGATCAGCTTCGGGCTGTACCGCGAGGACTTCCCCGAGGACTTCCTCAAGCCGCTCACGTCCCTCCAGTGGCTGGCGCTCGACAACAACAACTTCCGCACCATCTCCCCCACGGCGCTCTACACCTTCAGTCAGCTGCAGTACCTCAACCTGGAGGCGAACAGGATAGGCAGCCTGGCGCCCGAGGTGTTCCACCCCAACGTGCACAAGATCCTTCGGGACGTGCGTCTGTCGTACAACCACCTGGTGGAGATCCAGTCGGAGACGTTCGCCGGGCTGGAGGCGTTGCAGATGGTGGTGCTGACCGGCAACCGCATCCAGACTGTGCGCACCAACGCCTTCCGGGCGCTGCCCAGCCTGTTGACGCTCGTCGCCTCCGACAACCGCCTGACGAACCTGGCGCCGCGTTGCTTCAGCGACCTGCCCAACCTCGTCAAGCTGGACCTGCAGAACAACGAGCTCAAGGACTTCGCGCTCAACGTGTTCGTGAACGTGACGTCGCCCTACATGCCCATGAACATGAACCTGTCTCGGAACCAGATCGCGGCGCTGTACGCCGGCGACACGGGGGGCCCCATGTACGTGAAGGCGCTGGACCTGAGCCACAACCGCGTGTCGGAGGTGCCGGTCAACTTCGTGCAGAGTTTCGCGACCTCGCTGCGGCGCCTGCACCTGGGCTACAACCGCATCTCGAGGATCGACCCCGAGGCCTTCGGGCCGCTGGAGCTGCTGGAGGTGCTGACGTTGGAGCACAACGGGATCGTGACGCTGCGCAAGAAGGCCCTGCAGGGGCTGTCGGTGCTGCAGGTGCTCGACCTGTCGCACAACCACATCGAGCAGCTGCAGGTGGAGCAGTTCTCCGGCCTGCAGCACCTGCGCATCGTCGACCTGTCGCACAACCACGTGCGCTCGCTGTCCAGGGACGCCTTCCAGGTGGGTGGGCCTGCAAATGGGCGCGTGACTTGCGTGCAAACTCTAAACTAATTTATTTCTAGCAAACGGTCCACACTCGCCGGATTACGCCGTCCAATGTAGGATTGCTAACATCCCAACCATAGTGCCGGAGCTTTCTTCAGGGGTAAAATGATTGCTGGTTGAACAAAGAGGCTTCGATAGAGCGCCTCTTTGACAAAACAAAGCTCGATCTGTGCATTCTCATCGAGCAGTTACAGAAACAATATTCCTATGGAAAAATTAACCTTTTGGTAGGGTAACTTCTTGTTTCCCTTCTAATATGAAATAGATATTTAATTTATTCGTTAATATTTCCACCTTGTATTGAATTAACAACATATTTGTATATATAATTCAAGAATGCAGTACAAAATAGCATACGATAACTTTTCAACAATGTGAATACTCTCCAAAATGCCCATGACTCCTCGTCGAAAGTTGTGATGCGGACGATTCAGCCGATACAGCTCGTCATCTGGCTCGGAACGCTAAAAGGGTGGGAGTAAGTGGTGAAAGAGGGCTACGACGGAATGTTCTTATCGTCGGCACAGAACCCGCGCAGTGGACAGCACATGCTAGAAATCGATTTGTTTGCTGTTCTCAAAACCAACGCAAAAAGCCACATCATATTTTCAAACGCCCGTCATTGTGTTTAACTATTATAAAATTGACAATGTTTTGACAGGTTCCAACTCTATTGCCAGATCTTCAGCAGCTTTCTCATCAGGCATACAGAAAAATCTATTAACAAAATGACATGGTGATTTCCCTCTCAATAATACACCCCCTTCGCATTCAAAACGCTCTCTCATAAAATTCCATCCAAATCAGCTAGAGCCTCATTCTGTTCTGAGACCTACGATTTATGAAAGCTCACCCTTTGTTGAAATCTGCTCTCTTTTTCGTTTTGTCTGCTCTATTATAATTAAAAATTCAACAGGAGGAGTTTGAAAACTAGACAATCGACAAATTGAATTTCCCTAGGCTACGATATTCGATTTAAAACGCCCTACGAAGATGGGGGTAGCAGGCGCCGGTAGAATATCCGTGACCGCGTGCAGAGGCAGCATTCCGTGCCTCCACGCTCAGTGGAGCAAAATAACAGGGCAGCGCGGGCGAGGCTGCGCCAAGGATAAAAGGGCGTGGCCCGCGAGGCAGCGGGAGGACGCGAAGAGGAGCAAGGTGGCACGGCTCTTTGTTGGCGAGGGCGCGCTCTGGCGGCGGAGGCCAGCGGGAGGCAGCGCGGTCTATTTTTCGTGGCCGAGTGCGAATCCCGAGACAGGGTAACACAAAATTGGTTTCGCGCCGTCTTACTGAGGAATTCTGTTATGGTGCCGTTTCGGCGAAAAGACATTTGGAAATCAACTTCCTTTTAAAAATATCAAATAAAGCTTATAATTGTTGTAACCTAAGTGAGAGGTTTATGAAATACAGCCTTGCAGAATATGCATACGTACATAATGATTCTGAAATTTCGAAAGCTTAAATTTCGCATGCTTTGTTGGTCGGAGTCAATATACCTGGCTGTTCGGGTGACGCCACGTCCTAGACTCACATGGTACGTACCATACCGTTACAAGCAATAGCGGCCGCTAATGGCCTAGAAGTTGATGCGACCTTAAATGAAAAAAAAGGCATGTGGCATGAAAAGTGAACATCGTTCATTCCATAAGGCACTATTGCAGGGTGCTCTCTGTTGGTGCCGCACAGGACACGCGCCTGGAGAAGCTGGACCTGTCGCACAACGAGTTCGTGGTGATGCCGAACGCGGCGCTGGGGGAGGTGGGCGACTCGCTGCGCTACCTGGACATCTCGCACAACCACATCGAGCACCTGGACAGCACCATGTTCTCCGACACGCCCTACCTGCTGGGGCTCGGCCTGGCGCACAACAAGCTCACCATCCTGCCCGACAACGTCTTCACCGGCCTGGGCGCCCTGCTGCGCCTCGACCTGGGCAGCAACCCGCTGCGCGCCAACTTCAAGGTGAGCAAACAACACGTGCTTCATTTCTGCACCGCCTTCACTTATATAATGCACTGTTCCTGAGTTACGGTCATTACGAACAAATTGCCAACGTTTCGGCTTTTATTAAGCCTTGAACAAGGCCGCAAACAAAGGAATTTTTATACGCTATGTGCAACCATCTAATACTAGCCTTCAACTCAGTTCGAAATAATTATGTATAAATATTTTGTATAATTACATACCATTTTACACGGGATCTATCGGACCTATCCACCATTCTCACAACTCTTCGTTTCCAGATGTCCCTGCCAGCACTTTCTGATTTTCATTTCGGCACGTTACTTTCATATACCATTGCACTTTCACACTGTTGATAAAAGCTTAAAAAACCCAAACGGTAATTTAAATATGTTTGTAATGACCTAGTTACAACAACATTCCATTATATGAGGAAATAACATTTTTGGTCGTAACGAAAATTGATATTTGGGATAAGACTATCAAAGCCGACATGCGGCAGGATCAAGGTTCAAAATTCGGCGAAGAAAACGGGAACAGATGTAGGTAATTTTTCACTTGTGAACAGATTAATACAAAATTGAAAGATATTACTTGCAATGGGGTTCGTGAATTCCTCTCAGTGTCAAAACTTAATATTTAATGGCAAATGGGCTCATTCTTGAAGCCTTCTTATCGCATGCCGACATATGTGTCGTAGGTTCTCATAGCTTTCTTTCGATTCCAGCGCGCATTAGAAAGCAGTAACACAGATAGTTTTGTATATTTCCCGTGTTCGAGGGGTATCAAACGAAACTACAGACACCTCAGAAAAAGTCGGAGGCTAGAATTTTCTTACTTTTTTTCAATCATTGCAAATATTAGTAATACTGATATTAAAAATAAAGTCAATACTGCAATAATTGTGGTAAGCATGTGCTAATCACGGTGGCATGTAAAATGAGGCAAAGAGATAGGTAAGCGGGGCGGGAGAAATATAATCTGTGACCTACGACATTGCACAGAGTTTGATCTTCACATCTTTCATTCATATAAACCTTTATTTTTTGTTCATTTGGCTACTGCTGTATTTAATATGTTGAGATAATGTGACAGTCACAACTCACTTGTTTTATGGATGACTCGGAATTCTGTTTCAAAGGGGCTTTCAAAACGTAACCGGGATCCTGATTGTGCTCGTGAATTTCTATAACCCGATCGGTCGTTGTCGGAGAAAAAATTGTGAATACAACTCCAAATTAAATAAATTATATTTTCTGAGAATTTTTCCTGCGTTGCTGTGTACGTGCAATTTTTTTTCGCGCCATTCCGGCCTACAAACCACACACAACAAATCATTCCATTCCGAATACCGAAACAGTAATGAAGGACTACCAGAACGATTCACATGAACTCTTTCATGTGAAAATAAATAATGGATGTTTTATTGTATGATACTTCATACAGCAGAGCGTATACTAGAATTTTTGCTAATGATTTTTAATGTTATCATCCTGCCCGTATTTTGATCAGTTAGTCTTTTGTTTTTGATGTGATTTTGTGGCCACATTTTTCAATAACGATGTGATGGTAATTGTAAGAATCAATTTTAATACTTTGTTGAGTTTTATTTATCTATCAACAAAAAACGAACAACGACTATTTAGGAAAGTTTAGGAAATGTAATGTATACGTACGGTTCCTTGAACTCCACAAACCCCTCTCTTTTAACACTCCCACTGTTAGCAGAAAGATCTATGAAACTTGCGCAGAAGCCACATGTACAATCCAGAAGCAATGGTCATTGCATTTACTCAATGGATCAAGCAAAAGTGGAAGAAAATATGATTGAGACGGGAGGTCATGACTCAGCAGCTAAACTTCAATACGTGTATCAGACATAGTTTCCACTTTATAAATATAGTATACAAATTATATTTAAATCATTGTGAATATATATATTTTTCATTGTTGATCTGTACAGTTTTAAATGCTGTTCTTGTGGTATATGAGGTTTGGGGTCCTTTTCCGTTGCTTTCTACGCAAGAATCGCGGATAATAGTAGTGTGAATATTACTTCAAACTCGAAATTTACCATGGCGATCGACGTTCCATCAAGTCGCCAGAATAAGAAAATATCTTCGTCAAACGGGGAAATGTATTGCTAGTGTAGTTAAAATGCGGGAAACATGTTTGAGCAAGTTTTGGGAAACGGTTAGAGAGCGAAATTATGAAACGTACAAAACAATCTTTCTATAAAATAGAGAAATCACTAAATAGTCAGTAGAGTATTTGATGTACGAGAGGTGCCGCCCCCTCTATAGTGTTGGCAGAGTTTTGGTCTTACTGTGATCTCGTGTAGTGCGAATGCAGGGCGCAAATAAAAAGGTACGAACGTTGCATTCTCCGAATAACTAGCACACCATCTACTCTTCCCGCGCTCGTCTTAATCTATCATTAATTATTTTATCAATAAAACTAAAATACACAACTGATATATTTGCTGTACATTTTGTTGGGTACAAATTCGAAACATTGCATTGCTTCAGAATCATGAAGTATGTAAAAATGAGACTCAAATATGGTTTTAGAGGCATTCTGAGGATTCGAACGAAAAACATTGGCAGTTAATCGGCCACACTTGAGCTTCAGCGACATCACTTTATGAATGAAGAAACTCACTTTTTTTTCTTTTTTCTGCGAATAACGACGCGCATAGACTTACTAAACAATTGTAATTTATATTTTAATGTAAGTGTAAATGGTGTTGACTTGACACGTGAGCTTGGTCATTGACCGAAAAGGCCTTAAAAGGTTCTCTCAGTGACCGCGTGATGTCTCTGAAGCTAAGTGAGTTCATTTAGCTGCCGAGAATTTTCACACGTACCCCCATCTTACAGTCTCCATGTCCAGAACCAAAGCATTTTACATCATTTGTTCAACCTGTGATTGATATGGTTTTGACAATTATTAATAGTTTCACTTGACAAGTAATTCCAAATTATTGTTTAATCAAAATCATTCTTTAAAATTTTGTATTTTTTTACCCTAAAATGTCTTTTGTGTGAAATTCAACTCACTCGGGGTTACTTCCCTCAATTACCTCCCTCGAGCTACCTCAGGTGTGATACCCGCCAAATGGGCTGCCTCTGTGCGCTCAAATGAATGAAATGTGCGTTCGATGATTGTACATCCTCCGGCGTTCCCGGAACCACGTCCGAACCTGTCACTGTTCTGAGAATTTAGAGATTCTGTTTAAATCAATATATTGCTTTGACCTCTCGGGATCAGTTCGCGTTGAGTGGCAGGCAGAGTACTACTCGTTATGACAGGTGCAGGGGCCAATACAGAATTTGCGCTGATTGCGTCTGATTATAATGAATATAACAACACTGTATACGTTGTATTTAAAGTAAATCCGAACTTAAAAGTTCTCGTATTTTCAACATTATGTATTACACCCCTGAAAAAAAATCGTCCAGTGTAAGAAAATGATTTCTTGTTTATGAGCGTGAAAGGAATGATAAAAAAATGTATATTAGACTCACGTTTAACGGGCAACAATATTTAAATGAGGTTAATTGCTTATCACCTCCAGCCAAGACTCATCCCCTTCCCATTCAATGTAATTTACTTTCTGCAATTTTGTACTTCTTCAAAAACGATATTTGTTAATTGCTGATATTCCTTATATGAATATTTTATTGTACAAATTGATGTTTTTAATAAAAAATGAACATTTCGTAAACATTTTTTACCGTATATTCGGCTGACATGTATTATTGTATAATTATTTAGGCAACTTTTCAGTTTCGTATTAACTGCTTCTTAGTTAAAAATACTCAATAATTCATAATAAAAAGGTAGATGTTGTTCCTTGTGAACATTCTGAAAACAAGGAAATTGTAGTGTTTTTTATGCATCAAGAAAGTTTTCTAAAAAGAGCTTTTTGTCGCCCGACATCATTAGAATCACTGAACTCTCGTGGTACATACATTATTTTTTCTAATTATAATTATACGTATTTACATATTTACTAATTAACTATCTGTTTCCTTGATCCTGTTTGTCATGTCTATTTCCCTCCCGTATTTTCCTTTCATATTTTCGTCTGATAATCCCCTCCGTAAGATAACATCCATTAACATTCAACTGTTTTCATATTTCCCTCGTAACCACGATCTTTCGATTCAAGTACGTTAAGCAGTGTTTCTCAATCTCCGTATCGAAGGCAATACCATGCAATAACGTATCAATAAAACTTAAACTTCTTGTTTTAAGTAGCAATTGAAATTGCATCTGGCTTTGTTACATAATCACTACTTTACTTTCTCGTGCGTTGTTATCATTTTAGTATTACTTTTTTAGTAAAATGCTATTCGTGAGATTATTTTTTTTCTATTACATATTTGAATTTCGTCGTTATAAAATGATTGATGGCTATCGTGTGTATGACAATCATAACAAATACATTACCGGTTGACATCCAATTAATGATGCATTTTATTGAGTATTTCTCATTCAACAGTTATCCGAATTTGTTTTCATTACTTTTTACAGAATTTTCAATAAACGATTCTGTCACGATAATTTTTTTTTAAAATCTCTCTCATTTTATGGGACAGTACCCACAAAATACGAATCACAGATTTTAATTTCGTAGAGGAAAAGGTGGGCATAAATGACGGTGTATGAATGTGGGACACTGGCATACTACCAGCTGGCTGGCTGGCTGGCTACTCAACCGGTCGTGCTGATAGTTGACAGTTGTTCCACACTATTTCCAAGTTTTACTATTCGTCTAGCTTTACCTCAGCATGCTGCATTATTGTTTTGAGTGCTATGCTTTGAGTTGGAGAGAGTTGTTTTACAGAATTCAAAAAGTTTTGAAACACTGGAGTAAGTGTTTAAAGTATGAACAATCATATAAAACCATATATATTCCAATGTATTAGTCTGAAGAGGAGGGTAAATTCCTTTAACTTTTGCAAAGTTATTCCTATTCTGCAAATTAATGCTCAAAAGTTTAACTTAGGAAGTAAAACAGTAAAGACAGTTAACTGTTTTATATACCGTAAGTGTATATACTGTTAAGCCAATGGTGCTTTAATGTGTATATTGCTGCCTCGATGCATTAACGTGTAGGTTGACAGTGATAGTATTTAGCAGAAATATCTAGGAAGAAACATAGCACTTCACTTAAAGGAATTCGTAAGGGGTATCTAAAAAATGTCGATGAAGGCAATTTTAAAACTAGAAACATTCTTTAAATGTGCATTTTCTCCGTGATTTTCTTTATACTGAAGGATAACACTCTTAGTACTTGTACGTACCTGGGGAAAACGCGTACTCTCACGCAAATAAAATGATATAAAGGACGAGGTACACTTATCTGAATGGGCTTCAGGTTCTGACCGCTAGCATTGGAAGAATTCAGATCGAAGAAACTCTTTTGTGCCAACTTAAAAGATTTAATATTGAAACACTATGTACAGAAAATGATTTACAATACCGCAGTGCGCAAGGCCTTTAATGATTCGTCACGGAGTAACGCTACCTTGAGGCTGTCGGATGTCCAACCGCGCTGCTGGAGGCGGCGGGCCCCGTGGCAACGGGCGGCGGCGTCGTTCGGCAACTTCGGTCCGCCCCGAAGTTTGTCGGAAATCCGCTCGTCCCTCGGCGTCGACTCCGCTAGCCCCCCCCCATCGGAAATGCCACGACCGCTCGCCGGGTCCACACCCAGCCGTACAGCATGTCACATATAATAACTTGCACAACGGCGCAATTGCGTCAGTGCGTTCGATCTCGCAAGTTCTTCTTCAATCCCGACTCGAAGTTTGCACGGGCGGGCCCGCTGCTGCATCACACCGGGGGGAATGGAACCGTGTGGTCGGCCCACTCAAAACCTCCAGTATTAATGTTTCACTGATCCCGTCCTGAGTGCGCACTTCCATTTTCTCCCTAATCACCTAGATTATCATTTTATCACCTCCTACCCATCTCCCACTTAAGGCTACAACATCAATTCCACCACTTGGTAATATCAACTATAACTTGCTTGCAGCAGCACAGCCCGTTCCGTGTTTCCGCTCCGGCGGCCTCTCTGCCACACTCCCCAACCGTCACTCGCCTCGCCCGTCTACCCCCGATTTTTGACCGTTGGTGCAGCGGCGCGGCGGCGTAGCTACCCTGATCAAGTTAGTGCTCTATTTTACTTAGAATTAGTAGTCAAATTGTTGATTAGTTAGCGATAGCAGAAACGTTCTTCGTTTCTCAGTATTATAACAATCATTGTAAAAGTTCAGATTATCATCCACTCACTAATTGAGATCAGTAATTTTCCGCATTGTCATATTACATCTCAAGGCCTAGGAACCATTATATTTTCGTGCAAAGTCGAGTTTTCGAAAGCCAAGGGAACTGGTGAACAACGGCTTGTAGTTTGAGATAGACGAAGATACTGTAGTATTGGATATACGTATTTTTACCGTGCTGTTAAAAGATGGTCAATTGTTTTTAGATGTTCTGATAGGAAAAGCTGATGCATTCATCTTGGAGACCTTGTTTGCTATGTACACTTATGCGTTATTTGTGGCAATAACGTATCTAAGAATATATTATGGATAAAACTTCAGTTCTCCAAAACAGAATACATCAATTATTATGCTTATTGTTATTATTATCTATTTTATTATACTAGATTATGATATATTAATTAGCAGTTGCCCGCTTTGTGTAGTAGCAACAACAATATAGATCATTTGTCCATCGTTGAATTTGTACGTGGTGCAACCGTGTTAATTGTGGTTGGGTGTGCACGTGCCGTGCGAGCAGGACAGCTCTTCCACTACGCTGGCAGCGTCGCGCCCCTGAGCCTGGCCGAACACGGGGCTCAGCGATGCCGCCGCTGGCCGTGCCCAACCGTGTCGCTGAACCTGAGCGCCAACGCCATGGAGGAGTGGGCGCCGGCGCCGTGGAGGGCCTGGAGCGCCTTGCGCTCGTCGACCTCAGCTGGCAAGCCGCCTGCGCGCCAGCGCCACTCGCACGCCTGCCGGCACCTGCCGCTGCCTCAAGGGACGCTATGCACCCTCGCGCAACCCATCAGGTGAGCGCACCTGCCTCGCCGCCCCGCTGCCGACCCCGACGCCCGACCCCACTGCGACCCCGCTCCGACCCCGCTCGACCCCCGCCTCCGACCCCGCGCGCACCCGCGCCGGACCGCTCGACCCCCGCTCCGACCCCGCCTTCCGAACCCCTCTCCACCCATCTCCGACCCGCTCCGACACCTGCGACACCGCTCCGACCCGCTCCGAACCCCGCTCCGACCACGCTCGACCCGCGCCGACCCCCGCGCCGACCCCGCTCCAACCCGCTCCCACCCGCTCTTGACGCCTTTGCGCCTTCCGCTTCCATAGCCGAGCCCTACTTCATTCATCTAACTGCTTCTCTGTTTCTCTGAACTCAACCCGAAATTGCTGCCAACCTATCTATATTCCAAAGTCCAATAGTCTCCTACGGAACCTTGATTTGTCTCCAATGCAAGATCAGTCCGACCTCGGACCTGTTCCCAATTTAAAAATGTCCCTTTACCACAACCTTATTCCCGAACCAACCATCCTTCTAATTCCCCAAACAATCCTCTCAAGTAATTCTTCAATCAGTCTTCTAGCCGACTCCAATCTTGCTCCTATTTGGCCCGTCTCCCGATCGAATCCCAATCTCGATACGACCGCATCTGACCTCGACTCCGGTCCGACCTGCAATCCGATCTGTCTCCAAACCAACTCTTATCCGACTTCGACTCCGAGGCGACCCCAAGGCAGTCCCGAGCCGATAGCGTCCTGACCCGCCCCGACACCCGTCCGGCGCGTCGCGGGTGTGAAGGTGAAGGGCGGTGGTGGCGTTGCGCAGCTGATCACGAAGGAGAGCTTCGCGGGGCTGGGGCGGCTGCAGACGCTGTCGCTGGTGGAGCTGCCGCGCCTGGAGCGCTTCGACGCGGACGCGCTGACGCGCCTGCGCCTGCTGGGCTCGCTGCACATCCAGACGTGGCCGCGCATCGAGAAGTACCGCTTCCGCCTGGGCGGCGCGCTCTCCTCCGTGCCCTCGCTGCGGCGCCTCTCGGTGAGCCTGCTGTACAATAATATTGGTTAAATAATTACATAATTCAAACATAAAGAAATATTTAAATCAATTGTGCATAATAAAGGAAGGAAACAAATGAAAACTGTACACTTTTTTTGGGGGGAGGCATGCCCCCACCCTGGATCCGCCAGTGCACGAGGGATAGGCGGCCATGGTGGAGTGACATGGGTGAGATAGTCCGGCGCAATGATTTTTGCTCCTTCTGCGAGCGTGAGAAATTTTGAGAAACAATTTGAGAGCGGCGTGAAATAACAATTTTCGACGGTGACCAACCAAAAATAACACGATGAAGATGTAACTCAAATAAAAGATGTAATATTTTTAAAAGAATCTTTCTAATATCTGTTTCAATGACTTGTAACAAGATGTTGTTTTGGGTTTCTGACTGCATTTAAAATTCCCACTAACATTGTGACGCAGATTGGTGCCTGAAGCTGATTGGTCAATCGGATAGAATGTGCAATAACTCACCCATGACTTTCCATTGCGGATACGACATCGAGAACAAATCGAGGTTTGCAACATTGATCATCGAGGTTTCCAAACATCGATACTCAAATTTAATTATCTATGTTATTAAAACATCGACTCAAAACGATCGATGTTTTTAAAAGTGGATAAGTAATGCCTGAAATTCAAGGGGCGGTATTTGATTTGAAAGTGTTTTCGTTTATTAATTTTTATTTGAGGTTTTGCTGACAAAACAATGTCAAAAATCATCAGAATGATTTAAAAAAAACTTCGAGTATTAGATTTGATAATTTAAAAATAATATAGGTTTCTTTATGGGCGAAAAGTCGATTTGTTAGTTCTTCTTCTTTCGGAGCACCCACTTTCGAGTATGTTAGATCAATTACTTATGTTTTTTCTTTAAGTTTCATCCAATTCTCTTTCAGAATTCTTTCAAAGATTGCCTTTTTTCTTTCTTCTGAGACCTTTGTCCCTCTTTTGAATTTCGTTTTTTTTCGGTGAATTTAAGCTGCTCATCTTGAATTACTTTTCTGAATTGTTCATTATTTTTTTAGTAATTTATCAGTAATTGTTTAATTCATTCAAGTATTTTATTATTATTTATTATGCTTAATTGATGTTGCGTGGGAGTAGGTGAGGCAACTGTGTGTGCGCGCAGGTGCGCATCCTGGAGCCCGCGCTGACGGACCAGCTGCTGAACGCCTTCTCGCCCAAGCTGCGCCACCTGGAGATCACGGGCGCGGGGCTGCGCTCGGTGGCCGCCGACGCCCTCGACGGGCTGGACGCCAACTACGAGCTGGTGCTGCGCATCCGCGGCACGCAGCTGAGCTCGCTGCCCGCGGCGCTGTTCGCGCGCCTGCACCGCGTGCCGCACCTCTCGCTCGACCTGCGCGACAACAAGTTCTCCACGCTCAGCCCCGGCACACTCTACCCCAACGGCTCGTCCTGGGAGAGCGTCGGCACCAAGCTCATCTCGGGTGAGTCGCGCGCCGGGCCTTGCGTCGGGGCCGTTGGGCTGAGGAGCGGGTCATCACTTTTTGCTTATTGCGGGTGAGTGGCTTGCCGAGCTTGGCGCCGAATCAGCTGCACTGGTGAAGACGATCGAGGTCCGTAACCTTTTCCCACTTATGGGGTGAATCACGCGCCGGACTTTAGAACAGGTTTGTTGTACAGTGAGCGAAATAAGGGCTCATAACGCTGTCGCTTATCTTAGTTGAGTCTCGTGCCGGGCTTTGAGACGGGTCTGCTGTACCGTATGCGAGAAATGGGCTCACAACGCTGTCGCTCATATTGGGTGACTCTCGTACTAGGCTTTGCGTCGGTTCTGATTCTCCGGTGAAGGAGATCCAAAGGTCAATACTACTATATCAACTAGTAATACGGTAGTATTGACCTCAGGGTCCATAACCTTTTCGCTCTTCTCGGGTGAGTCGCGCGCTGGGTCTTGCGCCGGTTAGCGCGATCAAGCCCATAACCTTTTCGCTCCGTGCAGCGTTGGTCGTACTTCTTGTCTATCAGTGCGGCTCGTTAGCAGTGCTGAATAAAGTTTGGTGAGAAGTGCCGAGGTTCCTTCAGAAATATAGAGGTAAAAGAGACTGACCTCGTTTCTGAACCTTCAACTCTGTGGCCTGAGTAATTCTCTGTATCCATTTCCCCGTGTCTCTCGATTTTAATATTTTGGATATTTGTGAAAGTCTTTCGAGATGTGTGACTTTTATTATGTCTTATCCCATAGATACTCATCTTTCACGTACTTATAGGTATTTTACATTCATATTGGGAAAGAAGCGAATTTTGTTGGTGTCTGCTATTCCGAACTGTATTACAGAAAGCATTTTCATTAAACAATCATGAAAACCTTTCGTTATGCAGCATTCTGGTGAGCTCTGTTTTTCATTCAGAGCATCGTGACCCGATTAATGCCGCGTGCCAGACCCACTTCTTCCCATCGCCCATCCCCCCTTGTTTAGGCATATTATCCATCTACGAACCTCGTCTCCCCAGAACTGAGCGTAAAGTTTCGCTCGTGGCCACTCTGGCAACCCGTGTGCTCGCAGCTGCCCTGGGCAGAGGTCGTGGGGCCAATTGTTTTGGAGAAGGTCCCAGTTGCGCAGCGCTTCGACCATCAGCTCGGTATTCGCGCACGTTTTCTTGTGCTTCGGAATTCCCAGTCCCTCTCCTTCACACGCAAGGATTCTGAATAAAATACAGCAGCGAGGAGGGTTGACAATTGAAAATAAAACATTTTTGCTCTCTTTTAATAGAAGCTATTTCACTTCGGCAAACGAGCGAGAATTGATATGGTAGTTTGACCTAGAAATAATCAACTCCCTCCCTCCCATCACTTCTAGCCGAAAAACAATAATGCGAATTTTGTTTCTGTTTGACGCTTGCATGTCGAGAGGTAGCTTTGTCGAACTGTACTACCCTAACTGGAAAGTGAATACCTGCGTCTATTCATAATGTAATTTAAAGAGGAGCATTGCGTTCTACTACAGGATCACGGTGACTAACGCAAATGACGTATCTAACAATGCGAAGTATCAATTCATTCTTTTACAATATTGCTGTGACACTATGTGCCCTAAATTTGTATAATGAGGTTAGTGGTAGTAAAGAAACATTGTCATCGAAGAATGGGTTTGATTGCCGCGAAGGGTATTATTCACGGCATCACCTCATGACACTCAAATATTAAGTACAACTAATAATTTATATGATGTGATGTTATCGCTGTTGACGTCACTTGCACATCAATCACTAAATTGAGCACAGTTCTGGAGTGATCTGTGTTTTTTACATGCCCCCCATGCATTCTGAAGAACAATGTTCCTAAGATATATTTTTTACCGTAGAAATTTGTTCAACTATAAATAACCTACTGTTTTCACAGTGACGCGCAGAATCTTTCTTTCTAGAAAAGGAATTTAGTGCGACAATTTGATTATAAGTTGTCTTTTTATCTAATAAGAAAAGTCACGGAATCTCCAAGGTATCAAGGAAATACAAAAAATGGGTAACTAAGAATGTAGAATATTCCTTGCCTGCGTGATATTTTTAGTTTCTTTTCGCAAAACTTTTAATCGAATAACTTTTGCAGTTCGGCGAACTCAGCCGGATGAAGGTTAGTGCAATGCTTCTGAGACTAAATTCTAGTTTTTCTTTTCGTTTTTAAGAATCTCTTTCAAAATATTCCCCGGGCTCCGTTGAAATACTAAAAAAAATCATATGCAGACCACTGTTGCTTTAGAGTATAACTATCGTTAGCTGAAGGAATCCTCACGTGTTTAGTGTCCAACGAAGGTGTCAGCAGTGATCACGAAACGTTTATAAGACTCATTAAGAAGTAAATATTCACCAGAGGCGTGTCCTTAATGTACACAAGGTTCGCACTGCGCACCTTGTAACTTAAGAAAACACTTTGTTGGCTTCGAAATTCCCCGATATTTCTACAAACAAATCCGTTACGAACGCATTCAATTATTCAACTGTGTTAACAGATAACAGCACGCTTAGAGAATGCTAGGCCCTAGAACATCGCAGTTGGGTTATTTCTTCAGAGTGAAAAATTACAAAATGATTATTCTGAAGTTTTAAATTTTTAGTTATAACAAATTGTGTCACACGTTCTCTCACAGTTATTAAGGTCATAAAGGCCTCAGATAAAATAAATAAAATTACACATATGTAAAAAAATCATAATGTCAAGAACCATGAAATTATTGGTTATTTACATAGCTGGAATTCATGTAATATGTAATGTGTCTCCTTTCCTTTATCGGCGATTTTTGATACGTAGGTATATCAGTGTTACTGAATAAAAATATTGTGCAAATGATGATGAGCTGGGTGTACACAGTGTCGTACTCTGATGGAAGGGAAAGCTAGGGAGACGGGTATCCAAGTTGTCTGGCTCGAACTCGCTTTACCCGCTGCAAATTTCACGGGGGATTGTGTTAAATCGAACCGTGCGTTCACATGTAGAAGGGATCCAGGCTAGCAACATCGCAAGGAGACGTCCTGTACTACATTTACATCCCATCACCCTTCCAGTAACTGCATTTAACTACATATTCATTTCACTCAAACATCAGATTCAGTAGTGTATTGTTATAAGCTATCCCTACCGCTAGTTTACATGAAGCAACAGCACCCCAGACAGCAATTTGCATACAAGTGGATGGTGCCTGTATGTCCAATACGCGAGAGTACCCCCTTCCTTGAAACTACTGTGTTTACCTCGATTCACGTGCTTAGGTGACCGGAATGGGCTTTTTCCACTTCATGGAGTCTTTGTTGTCCATTACGAAGCGTTTGAAATCCAATCAGTATTTCACGGCACTTCCTCTCCAGCAAATCTGCGTGTCTGATCTCTTAATTGCTTTGACCGTTGCGCAAACACAACGGGTGTTTTCACGGGGAGTGACAGAGGAAGTTTAGAAGTGTTTCAAAGCATGTGGATTGTGATTAATTATCGCGTGTTTTATTAAATTAGTGGAATATTGATGAATATTTAGCAACTTTTAAATTATTATTTTAAAAGTGGAAACTCACTTAGAACATTTCTGAAATCTAAGTATGCCAAGAGATGGAATCTTCCAAGAGAGTAGTAGAATAGCTAAAAATCTCAATTTGTTGACGACTTAAGAAACATAACTCACCAGTTTGTAAAGGGTCTAGATTGCATCCTTTTCAAAAGTGTGTTGCTGCGAATAGCAAGTTGCAGATTGCATGGGCGCTTGAGGGTTTCTTTTTTTCATTATTTGTATAATTTATTCGTTTTTCGTTAGTTGTTCTACGCAGTCCTGGAGATAATTAATTCTCCTACTTAGTACGTTTCAGGATTTTCTTTGTCGATGGTGTGTACTAGTACATACTAATTTCCAATGTATCGATTGTAGTGTCAATGAAATGTGTTTTAGTATGTATTGTCCATTATATATAATAACTGGTACATAATTGTCCACTGTCCTTACCGTTTTACGTGAATTGCGTCCTCAAAATGGCAATGTTCCAAGCGACTTAGGGCGAGGTGGGGGGAATTGTACTGGAGAGCATATTGAAAGTTTGGAGATGTCTAATAGCAAGACACAAAATGATGTCATTTTCTTCACACAAGCTTTTCTGAAAATATAATTTCAAAGTTATGTTTAATGTTTTAATCTTACCATAGAGAAGTTCGAACATTTGAAATCATAACTTTAGCCAAAAAATAAACGATTAACCTTGCCGCTGTAATTATGCGATAATTTGGCCAAATTACTTCATCAAATACCTCAATTGGGCATTTTTTCGATCTGTTGCAATAAAGCGAACACGTTCTTTGGAATCAATATATCGATGCATAGACTGAAGATTTTTGGCATTAAAAAAAACGCTATATCGCTGTCATGTCTTCGCCGCCGCCCGGCACTTGTTCAATGGAGCTCGCCACGTCCTCGCAGTTGGAGACAGCGCCGGTGGCGGCAGCGGCGGGGGCGGGCGTGAAACTGGCGTCTGTTGGGAAGGGGGATGGGCGAGGGTGGG